AAACCTCAACCCCAGAACCCCCGACCCGAACCGAAATCCCTAAAGAAGCCTATCCTCGAACTTTATAACCGCGAAACCCTGACACCATGCACTAAACCTTCTTGTTCGTTACACTTGCTGAAACCTTATATAAAGCCTTTGAGGATGGAAAAACTCTTCACATCTCTACTGAAGCCTCTTGACAAGTGGTGGAACTGTCCTTATAAATCATCACATAACTATGCTTGACGACACCCCAAAACACAACTACAGTTTTCGAAGTAAAACGAAATGACACCCTGTAAACCCTCAGTAACCCTACAAAAACAGCTTGACATGAGACCCTGGAAGACCACTTGGCGAAACGCCCAGAAAATACTCTGAGAACCCTACAAGGCCCAGATTAGGCAAAGCTCCTTGCCGGCCGAAGAAAGCAGCAACTCCCGTCAAAACTGCTCGAGCCCCAAGACTGCAATTAAGGTTCAGGGTTGGGGGTGCAGTGATAGCGATAATATTGCTGATTATTTAGGCTTCTATATTCTAGGTTCCCCAGTAGCCCCTTAACAATAAGGGTACCCTTTTTCTGAATATTCCGTTTTAATAAGGGGACCCCAAACTAAAAAGGGCAAAAGGGTACTACTGGGGCACCTAGTATTATTCTTGCGAAGACTTCCGAGCTCCAGAACAGAGTTGCCGTGTGGCTTCGGGACGCGAATAGTGCCCAAGCATAGGTGGGATACCGGTCCTCTTCACCCACAAGAACACATAGCTTTCAAGCCTAAAGCCTACATCAACATCAACCTTTGCCCTAAACCTAGGCTTAGCCCTAAAGCCTAACACTTCACCTAAAACAATGCAGCTGCCCGCTTGAAAGCCTCCAGATCCAGCCCCTACACACAGGCCTTTTGGATACTCGCATCGGGGCCCTTATACATACATATATATATATATATACACACACATATATATATATATACACACGTATATAGATCCCTTTAAGGAACCCCTAACTTTCAATTGTATTATTGTCATCACCATCATGCTTCTACTCCTACTCCCGCTCCCACCCCGCTATCAGGATGTGGAGCTTTACTGCGGCCCGTTTAGTTCACTCCGACGCGCTTGATTTTCAAACGTGGCAGCTTATGCCAGTCCCGGCATTCTGACGGGACGGCACAGCTGCGCAGGTAATAAGGACACCATCGAGGCCCTGTTTCCCAGCTCCTTGTCTGCCGAAAGTTCTGTTTTGGGAGTTCGAAGGAGTTGCATTTTGGGATTTCAGGTTGGGGGCCTGCTGCTGGCGAAGTTGCAGGATGTGAGACGTAGCTCTGCTAGGTTTGAGTCGGATCGGAAGGTGCTTGAAAGAATAACTGCACATGCTTTCGGGAAAGTGTCGAGGCTATAACCTACGGTTTGGAGTAAGCTTTTTGAGGGGCTAGAGTCCTCTTTCCAGTTCTTAAACTGCAGATACGAGGTAGCAAAAGGATACCAGCAGCCTCGTCAGAAACGCCGGCTTTGCCGCACGATGGTGTTGCGAACACTGAGGATCCGGCCATTCCCGAGGTTATGAGACGTCCTAAACCCCTACATCCCTGGACCCTGAACCCTTAACTTCTGAAAGCCGGATTACTTGCAGGGATGGCTTCGAAAGACCCACCCTAAGATTACACTTTAACCCTGAACTCCAAAAGAAAAACAACACCAAAAATGGTCTTGGGTTTAGGGTTGTTTATGTGGCTTTGAGGTGAATGGCTTGCAACCTCACGTACTAATTAGAATCCTAGTCCTAGAAACCACAAAAGCTGGGACGTTGAGCAGTCAACCCCTGAACCTCCAAAGCAGAAACCTTTTATCTTCCCTCGGTACGCTGTCTTAGTCGAGGCCCGGAACTCCAGCGGTATCCAAGGGGTGAGGATCTTGCCACGAAGGTCTAAACCCTAAACCCTAAACCCTAACCCTAGAACAAGAAACTGAATTGTCGTAGTTAGGCCCCCAGATGGCACGGATCCGGCACCAAGGGCTCGAAACGTTGCATTTGCATCGTCTCGGCCCCCAAAAAGCCAGAGGAGGGGGAGGACCCTCGTTGACGTTGGTTGTCGTTTAGGGGCTCTGGGGGGCTTTGGGGTTAGAGGTTCAGGGGTTTAGGGGATTAGGGGTTTAGGGCTTCAGGGTTTGAAGGTTCTGCTGCTTAGCATTTGGCGTCTGCAACCAGCACTAAAATGACAGGGCATTGATCCTAGATTCGCAAAACCAGAAGTTAACTTCTGACGAAACGACGAACACCACACAGGGGCCAAAAGCCCGCGTACATGCGAGGGGTCTAATCCCATGAAAAAATGAATCTTGCCTTCTTCCTGAGGGCGGGAGAAGCGAACAACCCGTACCGCATCCTTCGGAACCTAATTGATGGTGAGATTGAATAGTTAGGCTATATGCTCAAACTGCCTGCGATGAACGGGAGACGCATATACGCCCACCATTCATAGAACCCCAAGCTTTGGTTGACAAGCTTCGGGCTCGGGTTCCGTGCTTGTCTCTAACACTTGGCTTCGGGTCGTGGGCTCATGGGCTCATAGTCTAGAGCGTTTCAAGCAGAAGGGCTTAGGGGTTTAGGGTTTAGGGTTTCAGAAGCGGGGTCCTCGCCCCCGCACGCGCCGAGGAAAATCAAGAGTATAAATGCACATGACAAATATCCTTGACTCCAAACGGCATGCAAAGCCCTGAACCTTGGAGGAACACTATAAACCCTTTAAGCACTAGACACAATACCCTATCTAAATCTTCAAAAGTAGGTAAAAATACTGGTCCAGCATACATAAAAGGCTAATTAATCGACATTAACGGATCATGGGTCTTGGTAACTAGGGCTCTAAACAACGTAACTATACTGATAAGTACTTGTCAGCCCACTGAAGCTACTTCTAGCCTTGCTTACTAAGTCCCATGACCCTCCACGCAGAGCCTGAGAAACACAACAACCTATCACACTGCCAGATATCGGGTTTAGGGCTTTGGGCTGCTCTAGAGAACGCTCCGGTGCCCCTACAGCAAACCCGAAGCCCTAGCTGCCTAAACCCTTCTAGCCCTGCTGACACGCAGTTGCACCCAAACTGGAACCCGAAATCCTCTGATGCGCTCTTCTGGGTGGGTTTAGGGTTTAGGGTTTAGTGTTTAGTCTATGTGTCTTTTTGGCATTGGAGCCTCCTTGCATGATCTCTCCAAACCGAGACAAGCATCAGGCTTACTGAAAGGCTCATGGGAAAGGCTACAGGTAAGGTTATAATTAGGATAAGCCTACTTAGGGCACCGTTTAATCCAAGTATGACCCTACTTGACTCCGTCCCTTGGGTCCCTTGAGTGCTTAAGTAGGGTTTACGGGGTCAAGGTACTATTAGTAGCGTTCCTGTAAGACCTATTATGGTATCTATAAGGGCAGGCTAGAACGCCCAGAACAAGCTCAGAGATACATGTTGCCTGAGATGTACGTACGAACAAACGAAAAGCCCAAAGAGCAAAGTCTAGAAGTCCATACGAGTCGACATGTAAGAACCAGGAACCATGAACAATCATGGTAGCAGCGGTGATGGTGGTGGTGGTGGTGGTGGTGCTGGTGGAGGCGGTGGTGGTCGTCGGCGTCGTGGTCCAAGAATACCCCCAAACTCTATACCCTAAACCCTAGCCTGAACCCCTGGGCAAGCGCTCAGGAAGCTGACGCCAGCGGCCGCAGTTGTCGTAGGGAGGCCGGGACAACTCGGCGGGCGTTTGCTTTTGGTTGAGATTTTTGATTTTGGGGGCAGTGGCATTTGGGTAGTTCTCCAAATTAGGGTCCCTTGTTTGGGTCCTTTCATATGGGTGCCCTACTATTTGGGGGAGCTGAAAAAGGCCCCTGATTTAGAGAGCTACCCATTAGGAGAATCTCGAGAAGGTTGAAGGCCGATGAGCATACATACTTACCAATACTATCTTGGGAGTCATCCAAAACCCCGTTCTAATTATTAAGGCCCTATATTAATGAATTAGTCGCCCAAAGCCTGCGAACTTGCCTTCCCTGCAAGAAACGCGTTTCAAATCCCAGGCCCTACACCTTTCAATCCAACTCTGAGCCCTAGATAAACCCTGAACCCTGAACTCTAAACCCTGTACGCCCTAAACCCTGCTTAAAGCGACACCATTGAACCAGAAGGCTCAACCTAGGTTCCCCAGGAACCCGTTAACAATAAGGGTACCCTTTTTCTTAATAGTCGGTTTTAATGAGGGGATCCCAAACTAAAAAGGGCAAAAGGGTACTACTGGGGCACCGAGGAACTCATCCCGGGCCTTGCAACAATTCTTCTCTCGGCCCCTCAGAAGTTAGAAGGCCTAGGGTTTAGGGTTTAGGTTTCAGGGCTTAGGAGTTAGGGTTTAAGGCTTAGGGTTTAGGGTTTAAGGCTTGGGGTTTAGGGTTTAGGCTTTAGGGTGTGGGGTNNCTACCGGGGGGGAGGGGGGGGGGGGGTAGTTGTCGTAGAGGCTTAAAGAGGACGATCAGGGACACGATTGCGAAAGATTCGGACCTCTCGAGTACTCCCGAAGTCCCGAAGTCCTCAGCCCAACTTGGCAACACCTGCTGGTGCACATCATCTTCCAATGCTGCACGAACGTCTGGAGGCAAGTCACAGAAGACAGAAGAGTGCAAACAGAAGCCAGAGATGCGGGTTTACTGGTTCAGCATGTAGGTTTACTGGGTTGAGGACCTCACCTTAAGTTATCAGAACAAGGAATGCCATATTATTTACAAAATACCTGCATTATGGTACCTTAAGTAAGCTCCTTAGACAGCAACCCAGTTTAGGCGTCCCACACCAGGTCTACGGGTGCAGAACTTCTTGAGCAAATCACTAACACTTGCTAATAGCCATGCCCCGATTTGCAGGTAGTACTCGGTGCGCACAGAGCCGCCACTGCACCTGAAAGTGGAGTCTGTGGCCCCGCCATGCACCTGCATGCTTCAAGAGCTCTGCTCATCTCTGATATTTCTCGATCTCCTCTGCAACGGCCGTCCGCCCGCGCATTCGAGCATAAAGTAAAGCACTGTATTTGTGGTCGTCACTGGCACCTGCGTCGGCCTTGGCTTTGAGCAAGGCTTTCACCACACCCAAGTCATAGTTCTGGGCATAGGCGGCAATTCCGAGGGGCAGTTCCTTCTTCTGATGGGGGCCGGTCTTCATGTTTGGATCCGCCCTGTTCTCAAGGAGTGCTTCCACGAGAAGTTGGTTACCTTTCCCGCATGCAATCCCCAAAGGTGTGATGCCATCCTGAAGCCCATTCACGTCTCGACCATCGGCCACCAAGACTGCAACCGCTCCAACTTGCCCCTTGGAGACAGCAGTGTGTAAATCCCCTGCAGAGAGACTCTCCGGACGAAGACTGCTAACAGTGCCCATGAGGCACATAGCGATGAATCGCTGCATGGAAGCCATGGAAAATATCGACAAACGAAAGAGGATTGGCGCTAGTTTGTTTGGCAAAGATGACTTTGAGCCAAAACGATTTCGTAGGCAAATGCTGGCCCACACACCTTCAAAGCAATACACTCCTGGCATGTCCAAAGGCAACGCTGACAGCCACATGAATCCCACATGCAAGGCCTAAAGTATAGGGGCCTTAATGATTACAATTGGGCTTGGGTGGATTTATGGTATCAATATATGCATATATTATATTAGCATATATTATATTATATTATATTA